GGCAGAGGCAGTGCCAGGTGGGCTGGGTCCCTGGGTCCCTGGCCTAGGGGGGGTCCTGAGGCAGAGGCAGTGCCAGGTGGGCTGGGTTCTGCCCTGACGCCTCTGCGGTGGCCTCTTGACAGAAGCTGGGGACGACACGGATGGATTCAGGCGCTAGTAGACCAGACCTCATTCCTGACTCTGCCCCGAACCCACTGTCCATCCTTGGACAAGTCACCTTGCTGTTCTGACCCAGCAGCATTATTTGTAAAACAGCAGAGATTTAGAGCGCAGTTTCCGGAGTCGTTTCTACTCTGAAGTCATAGGATGCTCTGGTCAAGAGCACAGTCAAGAATGAATATGCAAACCCTGGTTCTACTCGTTCCTTCCTAGCTACCAACCAGCTATCTCCCTACCTACGTACCACTCTACCACTTACCTACCTGCCTACCAACCTACTATCTACCCACTTACCCATCTACCAACCTACTCTCTACTACCAACCAACCTACTACCTACCTACCTACCTACCAACCTACTCTCTACCTACCCACCTACTATCTACTTACCTACCTACCATCTACCTACCTATGTACAAACCTACTGTCTACCCACTTACCAACCTACTATCTACCCACCTACCTACCTACTAACCTATTATCTACTCACTTACCAAACTACCTACCTACCCACCTATCAATTTACTACCTACCTACCAACCTATTATCTACCCACTTACCAGACTACCTACCCACCTATCAATTTACTACCTACTTACCTACCTACCAACCTACTATCTACCCACCTACCAAACTATCTACCTACCTACCCACCTATCAACCTACTATCTACTTACCTACCTACCTACCAACCTACCAATTCACCTATCTACCCACCAACCTGTGTACATCCAGATGATCCCAGCCCAGGATCAAGCTCTCAGCTTGGAATTTGGGTATCCAAATGTCTTGAGGGTCATCTCCACTGGAATATACATCTCGGCTCGCTGGCTGCTTTTCCTTCGCCATTCCCATAAGGCTGGTGGCGTCTGAGAGTCTAGCTTTGTTCATACTGTAGGCAACCTTAGCTACTCTCTGCATTTTGCTTTTTACCTTGATCCCAGTTAGCTCAGATATAGACTCTGTACAGACTTCTCCCCTGAACCCCTCAAATACCAAGCCTCTCTGGGCATCTCCACCCAGGTGTCTCACAGTGCCCACAAAATTGTCACGTCCACAGTTTACAGCTGCTCCTGTCCCTAAACCCCACCCCCCTGTTCTCCCTACATGCTTCCTTGTTCTTGATAAACGATAACACTGTCTATCTATTCTCTTGCATCTAATCTAGCATTCCTTTGAGACAGCTCTTGTTCCTCTTTCCAATTTGACATTCAAATTCTGTTCATTGTATTTCCTTTTTTCATAACCTTCTTTACCCTCTTCGACCACAGTATCAATGTGGGCCTGTGACAGCTCTCGGATAGCTGATAGCCTCCTCCCTCTGTGGTGAAGGACAGGCCAAATACGGTCATGCTGCTCCCTGTTCAAGACCTTTCCAGCCCCCGCCCCCCGAGCTTTGAGCTGGCAGTCCACATTCCTTAGCATAGTCTGCTGGATCCCGTGTGAGGCGGCACCTGCTTTATTTTCAACGGACTGTTCTCCAAAACAGGGCTTTCTTGTGGCACAGAAGCCAAAGTTCTTAGCTGCCAACCAAAGGCCAGTGGTTCGAATCTACCAACCATTCCACGCGAGACATGTGGTAGTCTGTTTCCATGCAGATTACAGCCTTAGAAACCCTAGGGCGTGGTTTGGCTCTGCCCCCTGTAGGAGCTGGGATTGACAGGACGGGTGTGGGATTCCACAAAGGTGCCAGACCCTCTGCCACCCGTGGAGCCACGCAGTGCTCCCGGGTGTGATGCACCCCTGACCTCTGCCTTGGCACCGCAAGCTCCAAGTGCCGGCTAGAATGCCCGTCCCTGCTTCCTTCCCCAGCACGCCTCCGGTTTTCAGAAAACAGCTTGGCCTGACTCTTTTTCATCTTCCCTGTCCCCCAGCCCCCGCACCACTCCCCCTCACCCGGCGTTAGCTGCCTGTCCTCTTGAGTTCCCGTTAGAAGGCAAGTAAGCAAACGAGCCAACCAGCCAGTTGCTGTCAAGTTGATCCCAGCTCATGGTGTGCCCCACCCCCACCCCACCCCCTGTATGTCAAGGGTTGAACTGTGCCCTCCCGGGTTCTCAGTGACCGATCTGTTGGGAAGTAGATCACCGGGCCTTTTCCTTAGGTTCTTCTGGGTAGTCTCGAACCACTAGCCTTTGGGTTAGCAGCTGAGTGTGTTAGCCATTTGCATCTCTCAAGAACTGTATAATAGCACCCCATTGAGTCTTTCTGGAGTGGGGGTGGGGCTGAATTAAAAAAAACAGCACCTCATTAATGAATTCTCTGTGTGCCATGTGCTGCGTGGTAGAATCATGATTTTGGCTGACTTGGTTTCGGCCTGTGTTAGGGTTCTCTAGAGAGACAAAACCAGATTGCTAATAATTATATATATATATATATATATATATATATATACACACACACACACACACATACAGATAGATATATAACACAAGAAATAAACAGTTAAATTATAAAGCAGTACAAATGGCTCAGTGCAACTCACTCCCGTGAGACAGCTGAGACACTGGCAGTCCTTTGAGTCTTGAGGGCCGCCAGGTAGTCCTCTGTGGAGCAATTCAGGCTATCCGGGCACAGGCAGCAAACAGCAAGGCAGGTCACCAACAGTCAGCCAGATGACAGGGTCTGACAGTCCCCTGCGCAAGAGATGTAAATTCCAATTATGTGGCGATGCAGGTCTTGAAGGAACCTCAAATTACAGCGACACAATTCACGGGTTAGGTGGCCCACAGGTAGTGTAGCTTGCAAATTGAGGCACAGAACAAGCAAGGCAGTTGCATACTGGTCCGATGATCAAAGAACAAGAGAGAAGAAAGGCAAGGCTTGCTGAGCCTTTTATCCCTCTGCCCTTCAATTAATCCCGCATGTGTTTATCGGCCAGGTTGGCACAATAAACTAACTACCTCACAACCCTATTTGGTGCTGAGCTCCTGGGGGCAGGGACTCCCTCTGTCCCTCAATGCTAGGAACTGCACTTACCGCATGTAGACGGATGGTGCTCAGACCGGGAGTCAGCCGTCAGGCGGGAGCCTGCCCCCAGGGGAGTCGAGCACTTCTCTAGAGCAGGCCTGTCCTTGCCCAGGGCTGGGAGACATCAGAGTGCCAAGATCCTCACTGCAGTTTTCCTCCTCAGTTGGGTGTCTGCTGGGGTCGAGGAGAAGGAGAAAGGAGTGCTGTCTACAGGGAGAGGCTCTGAAAGGGTGGCCTTGGTCACCACTGCAAACCCCGCTGATCTGCTCGCTCAGAGGGCGGGTTCACAGACCCTTCCCTAGATGTCCCAGGTTGGAAATTCAGGAGCAGGAGCAAGGGAGCCAGCAGCGTGGGGTAGCGAGTGCTCCGGGTGATCTTTGTGCAGACTGTGTGTTTAACCTTCACCCCAACGCTTTCTTCACCGAACAATTCCCATTCCAGCCCTTCCCATTCCTCCACAGAGGGGAGGTCCCCCTCAGCGGGATCGGGCTGGGGGCTGGACGTACATTAGCCAGTACCAAGGAGCCTCCTTCATCCACCCTGTGGGAGAGAGCTCCTGGGATTGATGAGAGAGCGCAGTCTTTCATGATGGACACTGTTCCAACAACTGTTTGGTGTAAAGATGGCTTCAGAGGGTCGTTTTGGTTTAAGGGCGGCTGTGCAAAGATCCAGTCGGGCCGTAGTTTAGTGGAGGTCATCCAGCTCCAGGGGCTCCAGAGTCTGGATTCTGTGAAAGTGTGAAGTTCTGTTCTGCACCACCCTCCTTTTGATCAGGAGTCTTCTGTAGAATCTTTGCTCCAATCATTTAGTCATGGGAACTGGGCACCATTGGTTCTGGTCTCATGACAAGAGGGGGCTGTTATTCCCCCTAATCTTTTTGGAAATCTCTCGCCGTCTGTTCTTTGGCGCGGCCCTCGCAGTAGGGTTCTCGTTCGGCCCTGCTTGCCTGTTGGTCTGGAAGTAGGAGAAGGCAGGAAATGGTTGTTGAGTGGCTGGAAGCAGGACACACAGATGCCCCCCCTCCCTGCCTGTGACCTGTAAGGCCGTGCTGCACTCCTGCCTCCTGGATAATAGCACGTCACCTTCCCCTTCCTCCCTCTCATCAGGTGAGCGCTTGGCCAAGCCGGAGAGAGGCAAGATGCGGGTGCACAAGATCTCCAACGTGAACAAGGCCCTGGATTTCATAGCCAGCAAAGGGGTCAAGCTGGTGTCCATTGGAGCTGAAGGTGAGTAAGGCCTGCCCCTGGCTGCCCAGTGGAGCCCGACTTGGTGCCCTCCCGGTTCCCTCAGCCTGTCGCCCCGATGGCCAGGCCCACGGCACCCACCTCCATCTGGTCACCCTGTGGGTTCTTGAGCTAACAGCAGTCTTTCCAGCCTTGGGGTCTCCTTGGTTCCTGTCCAGCTACATCCTGGCACTCTGGATCCTGTGGGAGAGGGGAGGGAGCGGGGAAGGCTCCTGGCCCACAGACCTGCCTGGGCTCTGCTGCTGCTTTGAAGGG